ATTCTAAGGTAAAAATGACCCAGAAGAATAATTTATTATTCTGTAGATAATAGTTATTATTCCATAAACTTGTTTGTAAAAAAATGTTTGCAGGCATGAAAAAAAATGGATTCCAAACATTGATTTGGGATTTTGGAATCAGATAAAATTACAAGTAAGACTGTAAAAACGTTCAGTGTATTTTTCATATTAAATGATTATTTTGCATTTATCAAGTGTTACTATTTGATGAAAAATGTGATTCATTATGGGGCTGGGGTTATGGCTCAGTGGTAGAGCGCTTGCCTTGCATGTGTGGGGCACCAAGCTCAATCCTCAGTACCACATATATAAATTTAAGAAAAAAGGTATTATGTCCATCTACAACTAAAAAAATGTTTTTAAATATGATTCATTATAGTAGTTTCCTATATTTGTCGTCTGCACCTCCTGGTTTTAATGCCAGAAACTTTTGAGGAAAGCTTTTAAAACTTAGAAATGAAGCTACCCTTTGATGAGAATTAGGACTTATTAGATCAGATGCTCTTGCATGGCCCATAGGGGTGAAACTGCAGGACAGGGGTGAGTTTTGTTCAATCTCTTGTAGGAATTGCACATGACTGAAATGAGTAGACCCATTAATGAACAGAGAAGAGCTACTGGCTGAATAGCTGCACCCTGTCCTCTGTTCTGGAAACAAACAAACAAAAAAAACCCATTTTAGGGCATTAACTAATAAGAGAACTTAATGTTGAATGCTTAACCACACTTTGGTAGTCATTGAGCCTTCTATTTGCCAAGTGTGTTTTCTTGTCCTTTTACAGTAACTAGGTACAAAATACTTTAATGTACATATGATATATATGATAATTAAATAATGATCATGTGCCCAAAGAAACTACTAGGAGGAACAACCATGAAGCAAATTCTTATTGAGTTATTTCCTGGCCTTTTCATTCTATTTACGTTTGCTAAAGAGTGGAGGCCAGATGCAAATTCCCTGACAATTGAAGAAGGAATAGGATAAGGTAATTGTAAGTAACCTTTAATGAGCACATACTAAGTCCCAGGTATTTTCATAAGTACTTTCTACCTTGTGTAATTTAATCCTCACAGTAATGTTATGTGGTGCATACTCTGTAAATACTCACATTGCTAATAGTGAAGGAGCTAACAGTATCCAAGTAATTGGTCAAAATTACAAAGCCAAAAAGGGACAGAAATTTGAACCCAAGAAATTTTATCTCTGGAGCCTGCCCTTTTGAACACTGTGCTCCTCTGCCTCCTTGAGGTAATCAAGACAGTATATATAGTTTACTCTTTTAGAGTCCCTAGCACACAGAATCATAGAAAATTTAGTGAATGATTTGCTTTTTGAATACAGAAATGAAAAGGCCTTGAGTTATTTAATAGATGAAGGATTCCTTTATGATAACCAGGGAGAAAACTCTTGCAGTCATGCCTGTTCCACCCTGAATAAACTGCTCACCTAAGAGATAGAAAGGGGGGTCTCTTCCTCTCCTACACGGGGGCCACTCTGCCCATTCCCCTCACCAGAAGAATTTACCACTTCCTTTCTGTCTCACCCTCCTGGACTTTGGGGAAATTAAAGCAGCCTCTTATAAATAGGTCAGAGGTCTTAGGTCTAAGGGGCATTAAGTAAGCAATATGTGTTCAACAAACTAAGCATTATGAACGAAGTGTGGATGTTTATGTTGGGAAGGGGGTGGTTGTCAGAAGAACTTATGGCTTATGTTGTTTTCCAGAAGTATAGATGGGCTTTTGCTGCTCTACCCACACTCTGATCACAGTCCATGAAAACACAGGTGCATCTGTGTAAATACCACAAAGGTAGTCTCTAAATACAGTGAGAGTGCTCACTGACTTGACGGGAAGCTGAACCCACATCCTCGACGGAATATGCTGACAGCTAACTCACAAAGCCAACCATATTCCAAAGTGACATCGTGCTCAGCAGCTCTTTTGTAGTTCCTGCTGTATGTTCTATAATTGCTCCAGCCATAAGAATCTTCACTTTTTGTCTTCTGTATAGCTTGATTACTGCAGCCCTCAGACTGAAAGGAATGACTTCACTTGAAGTGAAGGAATGGCTTCACTATGAACCTCCATCTTCAAGGGAGTTAAGTTTTCTGCACAATTTTCAGAGTTTTTTAATGTAATAATGAGAATTATGATTCTCTAAAAGGGCAAGAGAGTATGCTATATCTCCCCAACTTTTTGACCATAGAATTCTTGTTTGTCAGAAAGTATTCTGGGATCGGGGTTTCTTAAAAGTACATAATGCATAAGGATGTAGTGGATTCTGATGCAAAATCCAGCTCTACCACTTACTGTGTATTTTTGTTTGTTTTTAAATTTGTTTTGTTTTTTGTTTGGTACTGGGGATTGAATCCAGGAGCAATTTGCCACTGAGCTACATCCCCAACCCTTTTATTATTCATTTTGAGACAGGGCCTTGGTATGTTGCCAAGGCTGGTCTTGAACTTGCTATCTTTCCTGCCTCAACCTCCTGAGTCTCTGGGATTACTGGTGTACATCACGTGCCTGACTTACTGTGATATCAAACAACATATTTAACTTCTCTGTACCTCAGTCTCTTCATCTACAAAATGTGGATAATATTATCCTACATAATGTGATGTATGTTAGCTGTTATTTTTATTATTCAGTCCTCTACTGATATAGGCCCCATACACATCTAAAGTTAAATCCCAAAAGCTTTAAATCACAAGGAATTTTCTGAAACGTTTGAACTAGGGAATATCTGGACTAGGGAGTAATCTAGAGGTCTTGAATTTGGGGGAAAACTCAACAGAGTTTCCAGTTTAAATCATCTGTCTAGTCAGTATGGCCAGAGTCATGCTAAAATTAAAATGTTGACTTTGAGCAACTAAAGGTAAAATAAAAAGGGAAAATTGAACAGTGGCAAGAATTATGCTTGTATTCATTAATTTGGACAAGGTTGAAGTAGAAAATGTCAAGTTATGAGTAGTGTAAAACAGTAGACATCAAACGCTTAAAATTCCAGTTTCCTGGATATAAACCGTGGAAAGAATGAAGTTGGTTGATAATGTCTAGTCTAGGAAGAAGAGAAAGCCATACAAGAAATGGTCTAGGCAGCAAATTAAGAAGATGATATCCATGCCTTCAAAACAGTGAAACAAACATAACATCCTTTAGGTAAAAAAAAAAAAGATGAATCTCTGTTTTCCAACCATCTCACAATCAAACGGAGGATTAGGTTGTAAACAACAATCTAATAATTTTTTAAAAGGCTTCAGAATAACAGCCAGTTATGGAATCCATAAAATTAAGGATAGGTCAAGAATCAGACTGGAAGGCATGTTTTCAGGGCTAGCCTAGCCTTCAGTGCACTGTTGCTTCCGTGTGTGTGTGTGTGTGTGTGTGTGTGTGTGTGTGTACACGCGTGCACAGAATACAGAAGAGAAAACTTAATTCCAGAGCCAGCTATTCAATCTAGGAGGCTGCGAATGAACCACACTAAGTAAAAACGGAATGCTTGATAGACGTCCTTCAATAGACACAGCCAAAATGCCTATAGACAGTAAATAACCGTAAATCACTGTTGTCAAGGCGCACGCTCCACTCTCTCCCTCCCTTCCCAACAACCGTCCTCATTTCCACACCCCCCTCACAGTTCGGGAGAGCTCGTGGTCTAAGTAACGAGAGGACTTCTGACTGTAATCCTAGCACGTCACTTTGTTGAAGGCAAACACGTGGTTCGGAGAGAACTTATAAATCTCTCCTCCCGGCAAGATCGTGATGTTATCTGCTGGCAGCAGAAGGTTCGCCCCGAGCGGAGCTCCAGAAGCTCCCGACCAGAGAGAGAGAGGACTGGAGGCGAGAGAGCGAGCCAGGGAGCAGAGCAAGGGCTCAAATGAAAGAAGCATGAGAGAGGGATGGAGAACATTAGTATAACGGTCTAGGGAGCCATTCTGGGATAAAGTGAGGTGCTGGCCGGCTTAAGAAAGGAGGAAAAAGAAAGAAAGTGTATTTCAGGGCGGCAAGTGCCTATCTAACCGTAGACAGAAAGTCCAAGCGGGATAGAAGCCAGGAGCAGTTGGGGAAGGGTGGGAGTCCCAGGGAACCCCTACGCAACTCCCTTAGGAATAAAGCTCCGCAGCCAGCGCGTCCCTGGGGCTGCTGTTGCAGTCCGTAGCGGGTGAAAGCGACCGGGGCGGTTGATCGTCAGTTGCCGGGTTGGCCTTTGGAGCGAGAGGAGAAGGAGGAGCAGAAGGAGGGAGCTGGAGGCTGGACGCGTTTGCAGGCGGCGGCGGCGGCGCGGCAGCAGCAGCAGCAACGTGGAGTAACCGAGCGGGTCGGCGCGCGAGGGCCCGGGTGTAGGCCACAGCGCGCCGCTCCGGGAGCACTAATTTGCGGCCTCGGCAGCCTCTGCTGGCCCTGCGGCACCGGAGCGAGTCCCCAACGCGCGGTGCGAAGCGCATCTGCCTCCCCGCGGCGCTCCAGGCTCGCCCGCAGCGCGTGCACGCACACGCGCCCGCGCGGACACACACACACACACACACACACACACACACACACGTGCGCTCCTCTGCACCGGAGCTGCTGCTGCTCTTGCTCTCAGCGCCGCAGTGGAAGGCACGGCCGAATCTCTCCTTCTTTAAATATATTAATTACAGCCCGGGTCAGCATCGGCGGCCCGCTCACAACGCTCCCGACGCCCCTCCCGTCAGTTCGCCAGCTGCCAGCCCCGGGACCTTTTCATCTCTTCCCTTTTGGCTGGAGGAGCCGAGTTCAGATCCGCCACTCGGCACCCGAGACTGACACACTGAACTCCATTTCCTCCTCTTAAATTTATTTCTGCTTAATAGCCACTCGACTCTTTTTTTCCCCCTCATCTCGTCGCTCCAAGAAAACTTTTTCTTACTCCGTAAAGTCAGGGTTCCATTGCCCATCCCATATTAATATTTCCACTTTGGGAACAACTTGCATTTTCTTTTTTTAAAGGAATTCAGGCAAGATACATTTTTTCTACTCAGCATTGACTCGATTGTTTGCAAAAGTTTCGTATTAAAAACAAACAAACAATTCTACCCAATCTATGCTTTGAGAATTATTGGCTTCTATTTCTTTTTTTTTTTTTTTTTTTTTTTTTTTATACAAAAAAAAAAAAAAACACTTTTTTCCCCCTTTTTAAAAAAAAAAAAAAAAATGCACTACTGTCTGCTGAGCGCTTTTCTGATCCTGCATCTGGTCACGGTCGCGCTCAGCCTGTCTACCTGCAGCACACTCGATATGGACCAGTTCATGCGCAAGAGGATCGAGGCGATCCGCGGGCAGATCCTGAGCAAGCTGAAGCTCACCAGCCCTCCTGAAGACTACCCTGAGCCCGAGGAGGTCCCCCCGGAGGTGATTTCCATCTACAACAGCACTAGGGACTTGCTCCAGGAGAAAGCGAGCCGAAGGGCGGCCGCCTGCGAGCGCGAGAGAAGCGACGAGGAGTACTACGCCAAGGAGGTTTACAAAATAGACATGCCGTCCTTCTTCCCCTCCGAAAGTAAGTACTGTTTTTCGCTTCCCCAAGGCTTAACGCTGGCCTGGAGCTCTCAGAACCGCAGCAGCTCTGGGAATCGCCCTTCCCTCTCTGGGTCCGGGTTGCTCTTTTCCGGTTCTGTCCTTCGTCCCATTCACCTCCCATCCAGTCGTGTGCTGGAGACCCTCAGGCTTTAAAACGTTCACTGTCTGCCGTGTTTTTTCTCCACCTCTCCCTTCCCCCAATGCCTCGGTCCTTTTTAAGGAGTTATTCTCCTTTGCTCTTCCCTGACATCCTCAACTCGGCCACCAGTTAGGAAGCAACCTTCTTCTGTCAAACTGTTGGCGTTCCCCGGAGCAGGAGTTAAATTCAGAGAATCTTAGTAGCTTGTTTTCTTTGCCCCATTGGCGTGGGGCGCGCCAAACTGGAGCACGAAGGGTTAAAAAAGTGGCTCCAAACTAACCTCTCCGGAAGGCGCCCCCTTTCCGAGCCGACCTATCAGCTGGTTCCCTGGAGCCACCTCTATTGTCTCTCACTCCCCTAAAAATGTCAGCATCGCCAAAACAAAACCCGATTTGGAGACTCCTCGAAAAACCCTTCAGTACTTGAGGTATCAAGCGCTAGGTGTTTACTTTCCCCCTAGGCAAACCCTTGTAATCACGTCCCCTTTTGACTTCACCTGGAGTCTTAGAAAGAACAACTTCGTTTCTGACGTTTTTTAAGAAGGTTTTACTTCACTTTGTTTTTTCAGAAGTCACCAAACGTGCTTTCTTAAAATCGCTAGGTAGCAGGTCATTTTTCTTACGGGTCTATCCTTGATCATTTTAAACCTTGAGCTCTGTACTCCTGCCCTTTCATAAGTTTTCTGCAGTGCCTTTGGTGCATTCCTAAATCAAAGAAAAGACAGCTAATTTTAAAATAATAATAATGTTTATTATTATTATTAGGCTTCCCTGAAAGCAGTGTCCTCAAAACTGGCTGGCACACAGTAGCACTGAGAGTGAAATGATTTATTGTGGAGTTCTTTGGGGAGGAGAGTAGTATAGAATTATCTCAGATTTCTTTAAAGAAAGAGCAACAGCAGCAGCAGCAGCAGCAGCCAGTGATACCTGAAAGGGTTAAATACCAGGAAGAACTAGAAGAAAAAAGTGAAATACACTTCAGCATTTGAGTATTCCAAATCCTAAGTCATAAACTTTTCATTGGTTGCCCATTTCTCTCCTCCCCTTTCCATGCCCTATATACTTGCTGGCTGCCTTTGGGAAGTCTCCGGGTCTTGCCTAAATAGATAATACAGCCATCTTGGTAATTTTATCACCGAAATTCTAATTATTGGGTGGTGCTTTTCTTTTTTAATATTTATTTTTATTTTGACAAGTCTCAGCGATGTGACTTGCCATGTCTTGTATTAATGGCTTTGGAATGTCTGCCCATATGTCTAACCCCAGTCTTTCTGGACACCTTTCTTTTGCTGCAGTTGTCTTCTCTTGTTATTCAATGGCAGAAAGAGATACAGGGAATCCTGGCAAGCAGGATAATTTTATTATCATAATTATGGCACTGTCCACAACATCAATGACAAAATACACTCCACCCTGGTTATTCCCCTTGGGAAGCAAAACTCTCTATCTGGGATGGAGCCAAGGAGATATTAGGAAAGAAAGTTCATTGTGCTTAGTCCAAAACTATTGAGACTGAACAAAGAGTTGAGTCAGTTTGCTCTCTCTAGCACATGCACTGGTTCTACTGGTATTTGGGGAGACAAGCAAATGTTATGTGGGACCTGGATAACTCATCCTTCAGTGTGTACATGCAAAAGCTCAAATGAACTGCCATGTGTTACAACACTGAGAGGTCTGATCTCACCATTCTATGGATGTGGAAAGAGCAAGTTATCCAAGAAGGCTTTCATTCTGAGTTCTCTCAAGCATTCTTAAGTCTGAGAGATGAAGATGAGCTGAGACAGTCCAATCCAGGATCATGGTCATCAACAGATTGGAAAAATTCCTGGATTATTAGGAGGATTTCAGAATATGGCATCTAAGACCAGTGTGTGGGTTCTCCTTTCCATTTCTGCCCTCAGCTTCCAGACAAATTAAAACCTCTGATGAGATCAGGATAAAAAATAGACTATCTGTGTTCAATAAACAAATACAGGCTGTAAGAAGCCTGTGGACTGTATGGAAGTTTAGGAGCAGAAAACCATATTAATAGCAGAGTTGATACTACTGTGCAAGAACTGTGGATCATTTTATAGAAAGTAGGTTAACTGATTTTCCAGCACTTTCTAGTTATTCTGGAATACAGTGAACTCTTCCAAAAAAAAAAAAAAAAGGAAGAAAAGAAAAAAAAATTACTCCACCATATTTTTTAAAAGCAAGTTAAAAGTACAGCGTTGGCTTTTATACCAACTTTCCTTCTTGAAGACTTTTCTGCCTAGCTTTTAACTCACCCGTCACTGAATTGCTGCAGGGAGGGTGTGCGCCTGTCATTTCTTGCAGTGGATCCGGTGAGGGTCACAAGTCTCAGAGATGAAGGCATGGGAAAGATCACTGGTTCATTTTTTTACCACCGACTTATTAGTGTTCAGGGAGTGACTTCAGCTCAAGTATTACAAATATGCTCTAATTATACTCAATGAGCTATATATCACTACAGATTGCTGATAGCCCTTTGTGGGACATTTTATGAAGTTCAGACTAAATATTTTTAGCAATGTGGAGATTTAAAAGTAAAAATATAAGAGATATTGTATATGCCCTCAGGCATATTTTGTCTTAAATATTATCCTTGGCTAAGTGTACTATATAAATACAGTAAATATGAATAGAACTGGTCAGGTGCCAAGCTCCTAGTATGAATTTTAGTCAAGAATGTATTTATGGGATATAAATAATACTGTGTCAACATTTAAAGAAGGGGTCTGATTAGTTTTGAATTTATTCATATTGATCTTTTCACATGCTGTTAGTTTAAGACTCAAAGTGGAGTTAGGCTAAGGTTTACTGATGGTTTGCCCAGTGGGAATTAAGTGAACTTTGAATAGTTTGACAATCCATTTGAAGTCCATTCAAAAGACACTGCACAAGGTTTTAGAAATTTAGAGAGTGACTGTTGAATCAAAGTAGCATCTGTAGAGGCTTGGACATTCAGAAAGAATAAAAGAAAGGACGAGACAGGTTTTCAGTTTCTTTCTCTCCTATTTTCATTGTAACAAATCAGGTAATGTTCCAACTATGGAAACCCTTACCTTCCCACCCCCACCATCTCTGCAGGGACAGTTGGCAATGTCTGAAGACATTTTTTGGTTGTCATGACTAGGGGTGGAGTAGTACTCCTGGTATTCATTGGGTAGAAGCCAAGGATGTTTCTAACCTTCCTATAAAGCACAGGACTGCTCCCCCTTCCTCCATATATCAAGAATTATCTGGCCCCAAATTTCAGTATTGCCCATGGTTAGGAGCTCTGAAACCCTGGTATTTATCTTGGCCTACTGAATTCTGTTAGTAGTACCATTTTAGAAGTAATAACAAAAGTAAAAGATCTTTGTGACCAAATAATATTAAAATGAAAGCATTGAATATGACAATCAGAAAGTTATCTAATTAAATAGAATATTAATTAGACCATTTTGTATGGTGTATACTTGAATATTGTGATCTTAACATCACCTACATTTGGGACATCGACCTTTTCCTTTTATTTAGTTAAGAAATGGAGTTGACCCTTCCATGAGCTGCCTCACTCAGCAACAGTATGATGTTAGTCAGAACACAGCAAAAAAAGAAGTGAGGAATTACCTTGGATTTTCCTTTCAAGTAAAATAAGCTGTTTTGTGTTAATGAAGAGTGGAATCGCCAAACTAGGGAACTGGAGAAAATAATCATTTTTGTTTATTCTATCATACTAATTTAGATAAACTAAAATATTCAGCTTAAAAAAAATCACAATGAGGTTACCTTTGTAATTGTTTCACACAAATGCTAAACATTTAATACTAAGCAATCTGCTTTTTTATTTTCCTAGTGAAATTTTGGAATATAAAATGAATACCAATGACACTGGTTTGGGGGAATATGACTTAGTTTTCTCTTCATGAATATGTCTCTCTCTATACAAATGGCTGGTCTGTTGGCCAATTGCCCAATGAAGGAAAATGTTAGCAATTTCTGGAATACAGTAGAATATTTGGTTTATGTAGTATTTTTGTTTTATTTTTTTTAAGGTTTTCTCATTGTGTTTGTATGTAGGGGTGAGAGAGAGAGAGGGAGAGAGAGAGAGAGAGAGAGAGAGAGAGAGAGAGAGAGAGAGAGAGAGAGGGAGAGGAGATCAAAGAACAGACATGAACTCTTTGACTTCCAGAAAGATTTATTTATGTGCAACAGACCAAACTTTAATTCCTTCTCTCTTATTGCATCATTGCTTGTACTAACTCTGGTACCTAATTGTGGTTACATTTAAGTTAGGCCACATTCTCCTCTTTCAGGATTTCCTCTTTTTTACTTTTCAGACTAGAAAAAAAAAAAAAGTCCTCAGTTTTTAACTGAAACAGATAGTCTTTGTTGCCAACATAGGCCAGCCGGCCTTATGCTTCTCCTGAGGAGACCCTGCTGGATAGAGGCTGTCTTCAGAGAAGCTTGAGGGGTGTCCCAGGACCACTTATCTCTTAGAAGGAACCCTGGGGTCCTCTCTGTCTCCACAGCGACCCCTGTGGACTACCTAAGGAGCTGCACTTTTTGAATTACAGTTTCTCCCTGGTGAAAAGACGATGATGTAACCTAGTCACAGCATCTTCCATATAAAGATATGAAAGAATGACAGATCATTTTTCCTAGAGGAAATGGGAATGTGAGAAAAAGGCTAATGACTCACTGTTGAACCCACATCAAATCTGGGTTAGAACTGAGGAGTTCATTGACTCCTAGGCCTTTGCCCAGAGATTACAACACACTTCAGGCTGCAATTTTAGAAGGTTCCGGAAGATAGAGTGGAGGAGCCTACCTCTGGGAGAGGTGTGCAGGTCA